TTTTGACAGGTTATATGGCCCTATATAAACAGTTGTTTGAAAATATAACCTGAGCTGCTAAACGAGGGTTATATTGCAAACAACAGTTTATATACGACCATATATAACCTGTAAGAAATATTTATAACGAATTTATAATATATAATTATATATATAATTTATATATATACGCATTTATACATACGCATATATGAATATTTATATATACATACACACCAATAAACAAATATGGTCATTTAATGCACAAATCAGTGAAAATTCAATAACTTAACCTTCAAGGTCATGGTCATAAAAGAGCCTAAGTCAATTTGAGTTTGATAAACATGAAGGTTTTGTCCTTAAGAATGTTGTGTTTTAATATGATTTGAATCCATTCAATAATAGCAAAGTTACAGCCAGTAACAGCAAAAAAAATGAAAATTTCAATAATTTGACCTTCAAAGTCAAGGTCATTTATGAGTGAAGGTCAAGGTCTGTCTAGTTATCTTTAAGGACTATTCTTGAAGATTATTATGTTCAAGTTTGAAGACAATCTATTCAAAAATAAAGTAAAAGCCAATAATAGCCAAAAAAAATGAAAATTTCAATAATTTGACCTTCAAAGTTAAGGTCTTTTATGAGTAAAGGTCAAGGTCTGTCTGGTTATTTTTAAGGGCTATTCTTGAAGATTATTATGTTCAAGTTTGAAGGCAATCCATTCAAAAATAACAAAGTTACAGATAATAATATCAAGAACAAGCAAAATTTGGACTTTTGACCTTAACCCTTTCCCCCATGAGCATATTGTGAAAAATGGCCATTTTCACTGAAAAGCCTCCTCTTACAAGTTCAAACTGCTATGAAACTATGAAAAATGCTTCAATACTAATCAAACTTGGCACAAATGTTGACTGGACCATTGCCTTTGTAACGACATGCTCAGTCTTAAATTTCCTGTTATCATGGCAACGAAGGGACATCTCAAAATTGCCAAAAATCACTATTTTGCCTTGATTTTTTCCATCAAAATTTATTTCAAAGTGCTGCAACTTCTCAATGGATTGAGATAGAGTCAAAGGCTTTTCAGCGTTGGTTACACGTTACCTTATGATCGACCTGGGGTCATTTTTTAGCCTCTCACAAGTCCAAAATTTTCTTGGCGATGAGGGGGACTCCGCCCCCCTTCAAACCCCCAAACAGAAGGGGGCACATCCCCCTTCTGGCAACCCCCTGATGTATCTTTTGGATGGGGGCGGCGCCGAAAATGTGCTCACTTTTTTAGCAACATTTCTCAAACGAAAACATGTGCTTGGGGCCCAAATAGGACATCTCTTCAATATTGAAGCTTAAAAGAGGGGGTTCGAAAGTGCGTTGTTTCGCGTATATATGAGGTCAAGGGTTAAAGGTCAACGTCATTTATGGATGAAGGTCAAGGTTAGTGTGGTCTACTGAAAGGTCTTGTCCCAAGGGTTGTTGTGGCCAAGTATGAAGACAATACACCAAGAACTAAAAAAGTTATGATCCAGATACAAGTTTGCGGACTGCAACAGCAACGCGGCCAGGACTATAACAATACTTAAATACTAAAGTCGAGCTAAAACGGAAAGAAAGAGAGAAATCATTCATAATTAAGCACCCAGTTTGCTTTGGTTTATTTGTGTGCAACATTATGCCCCTGAAATAAGACTGCCCCCAGTTCAAATATTCTCTTTGTTTATATTAAGTTTTGACTTGCCTGTCTCCATTGACAATTCACGCACCCACAAATTATTTGAAGAACACACAATCAATGCAGGGTAAATATGACCCAGTAATGACCCATCAAAAAGAATGACTGCCCAAACATCCAACGGACGAGTTGGGGACAAAAAGAAATTGATTATTGTTTATTTCTACAATTTTAAATGAACTATTATAATTTATATGTAAAAAAAAAAGCTAAAAAAAAGCTAAAATTAAAAAAAAATAAGACCTGTCCACGAACAGTGCGCTTCACTTTTCTCAGTGCTAATAGTAATATAAAAGCAACACTGAAAGGATGCATAATTTTGCAAACATGCTAAGCAGACTTACCTCAAAAGCTTAAATGTTTTTTTTAGAACAAGGCAAAATTTAATATTCTCAGTAATAAAGGGAAATAATAAAGCAAAACTGAATTTCACGATTATCTGCTCCTAAGAAATGCCTTTCAAATTTGATAATAATGAAGAAGTATTCCAAGTTTAAAGTGACTATCTTTGATACTTTTAGAGAAATTTATATTTAAACAAGAAAGTTAACCAAAAAATTCAATAAAAAGGGGGCATTACTTTGTAGAAATGAAATTATGGATTATATAATGCTTAATGCTCTTGAAATAAAACATGCAATAAGTGTCTTTAAAAAATTGACCTAAAACTATTACATGTAAAACATGTAAGTATGACTGTATTGGTGTGTGTTAATGACTGAATGAACTGTACCATATCCTTTATAAGATCTACATGCAATGACATTAATCTTCAGAATAACTTTAAAGCAGCACGCCTCCAGATTCATGCTGATTTTCATGAAAAATGTTTAAATAAATTATAAAGTATAAAATTGTGAAGTAACCAAAATGAAGCAAGTTGCACATTATCAATGACACTTACGTTCCATATTTAATGCAAAAAGAGGTCAAAACATACCAAAAAAAATCCCTTACTGCATTAGTAACGCAGTAGAAATATAGATATAATTACTGAAAAATCAGCAATTAATCGTACATTACATGTCAATTATTACTTCAAGCTTGAATCTGTTACTTTTCCTAAATTACTCAAGCTTGAATATTTTGGCTTATCTGGAGGCATGCAACTTTAATATTTCAATCAAAATATCAAAATTGAATACAACTTATATATACATTCATGGATAATTTGTAACATTCTCTAACCCCCCCCCCCCCCCCCCCCCCAAAAAAAACCCAACAAAAAAACCACAAATCAATGGCTCACTTTTGTGGAAGCCAAGGTAGGCAACTGCTCTGCATACTGTCAAATGCTCTTACAAGAGTTACGGTTTTTCTCTGCTTAAGTGTGTGTTTTTTTACATCTTTTAAACAATGAGTAACATGGAAATGAAAAGCATTGCACATGTGTGTTAAAGGTCAAATTGCTCATAGACAAATATGCTCTTATGTTCATAATTTTCTTACAGACACAACTGAGAAAGTCACAATTGAAAACCAGGCTTTTTCCTTGCCATTTTGGGAAAGAAATACCTAGCTCAGGTCTGGAAATTTTGCATTGTTCAATTTCTTTCTTGGTAAAAATATTTGGCACCTTTTGTTACCTCCCTTCAGGCTCTTTTGGCATAGGATTTTAAATTGTATGACATAGTTTTGTTTTTTTTAAATCAAGGCAAATATCTACCAAAACATAACAAAAATACAATAAAATATGTGGAAACATTTCTGTTATTACAGCTGAATAAATTTCTGCAAAATTCTCAGTTTGGATATTGGGAATTTCAGTTCAATTGGGAATTTTTCCAAAGATTGGGAAAAAATAAGCACATTTTCCTTAGGGAATGGGTCTGGTAATCTGACCCATGGTGACACTTGGAAAAGACATAAAGACAGGTGGTTTCTAAATACAGGACAAGGTATAATTAAATTTGTCTTAAACTTGTCATTAAAACATGTTTTAAAGGCTTTTGTGAATAGTAACATAAATCTGGAGGCAGTAAATTAAATAATGAATAAGATCCATTTTCATTATTAAACATGTAATAATATACATGTAGTAAAAAAGAATTTCATGATATGGAAATATTTTTTTAAAACAAAATTCACTCAGTCTATGATTTAAATACATAAAAATAAAAATGCTTAAAAAAAATTCAACACTTTCATATTCACACTTAATTCATTTTTACTTATTAATAATTGTTTGCTTTTTCTAAGCAATCAGCAATCCTGTGATACCCACTATGTAACCTTTTTTATTTTTTTTCTTCCGAAATTTATAAAAAAATTTCAATTACGCTTGTGATATATAATTACATATATATTTAATAAAGAGATTATTGTTTAACAATTTTATTTTGTACATGTATAAACACAAAACCATCTAAAGCATAGTAAGAGGATATTTCTAAAAATACATTGTATGCAAATACCTTACTTTAACTTCAATTTAAGTATAATCTAATAAATTATTAATAGTCTTTTTGCCATTTTATTGTGAAATGTCTTGCATTAAGGAATTAAAAAAGCTCAAATGAGTGTAAAACATATGTAATAGATGACCAAATTTACTTTATATAAGTACTATATTTCTATTTAATTCTGATATCTTAATTTCCATTATGCTAGTACTGATACTTTACAATCACTTTTGAAACACTATACGATCACTTTTGAAACACTATACGATCACTTTTCTTGTTTAAAGTTAGGCAATATTATTACGCTGCTAAACAATAAGTATTTGGAATCATTTGGCACTTTTGCCAACTTAAATTTATCCCATTCTGTATGTTAATTGCTATTAACAAGTGTCCTGTTAATTAACATGTTTATGACGTCACTTTATGATGTCAAACTTGAACGAACACTTGGACGTGAAGGTTTGACGTCATAAAAGAGAAGAAGCGCTCTGACCACCATTGCGGTAAGCCGTTGTTTTCATTTCTCGGAAGTTTTCCGATTTTCTTTTATTTCCCCTACCTTATTTATTTTATATGCATGTTAATTATGAAATATGATGACTTAAATATTTAATACAATTCATAAAACTTACATTTGCCTTTATAATTTATTCTCATTTCTTTTGTTTAATTTACACAAACGGTCCTGTGATATCGAACCGAAAGACTGTTCCCCGTTTACACATATTTTACAAACAGTTCCATATACTCATTATAATGTACTTTATATGTCCTCCATCTTGAAGATTCATATGTCCTCCGTTTTGACACTTTATCTTTGATGAATCTCAAATTGTACTATCCACATCCTAGAATTATTTTATATCGCTAAAAATTACTCACAATAAATACTGAATAAATCTCTCACAATTAACTGACTAGAAATCTGTAACACGCCCTTTCCTTTCCCAGTCACCGTATCGAGTTGGTTCGGGACCACGAGGTCCCCCTATTTCACCAGTCACAGGATTTTTATCATCTGGAAATCTTTCTAATGGTTCTTTCTCAGAAAATATTTCTACTGACTCGTCCGTATCATGCTCCCACTTATCGTCAAACCTTCCTGCAGGTGTCTTCCCTTTTCTTTTTTTTGACGTCGGTTTATCACCGGAATCTGATGAGTGTTGCCTGATTGAAACTGCTGTTACTAAATTTGGAACAACTTGTCTTGATAATATCTGACGTACCAGTCCTGTAATAGAATATGTAATTTGTTGAGTATCATGTATATATCACTAACCTCTTACCATTTTAAAAAAGTCTTGGATATGAATAACATCACAATTATCCAATGAAAATAAATTATATTATATTATTATTATATAGCATTTTCTATCATGGTGTAATGTCATTTAAAAGTTTTGATGTACTTCTTAGAAGATCATCTTCACAGTGCCAATTAATTTATTTTCGTTAATTAGGGATGCACTCTCAACCGGTCCATCCTGGTATAATCTTTTGACCCACAATTACTAGAAACCAGCCAAAAGTATCATATTAACTGTGCTGGTCTGTGAAAAATAATTTTTATAAATGCGTTGATATTTCAATGTGAAAAGGTGTTAATAATTGTTATGAAGAGATTTATAAATTTTCATACATAATGCAGGATGGGGTGGCTTTTGGGAAAATTTGATGAACACTGAACATTGTGTTCATAATAAAATCTGCATTTGTTTGAGTACAATAGGGAAATTTATTAGCAATATAATGTTCAGATATATTTTGGTTTCAAAACCTAAAACTTAAACCCCAAGGCAGAAATTTATCTAAATTCAATTACACTATATACTACTAAAAGATAATGTCATAATCCAAATATTGGTATATTCAGTCATCGAATTTAGCACTTGCCCGGTGGCCCATGGCCAGTGAAAATTAGTTTGGGCCAGTGTAAATTTCAAGAAAATTTAGTTAATATATAGAATAAATTAAAAACTGGAATTCGGGCCAATAAAGTCAAAATATTAAATTCAATGACTGTATATTATAGAATCTAGTAGATCTATATAGATACTTGGAATGGACTTAAAAAGTTAAAATTAATTTTTGGCATTGGGTTTATTTATAAATTATTATCAAAAATATATTTTGTGAACATTCAATTAATATCCTTGTGGTATTAATCACATTATCTGGGACACTACATAAAGTACCTGGTATTAATCAAGTGTGATTGCGCCGACGTACGATGTAGATGTATTAATCAAGCGACAGTTAAAACAAAAAATCCATTGGTTTTACTTATTTGTCGATGTATCGATAATAGTTACTAATAAACACCGATTAATGCAAAAAATTATAGCACGAAGTTTCAAATTCACAAGACCTTATGGAATTTATTTGTTACATAATTATATAAGTTTAAAAGTGTTAGTATGTAACAGATTAAAAGTTCAACAACTGGAGGATATAAACAGAGTATAATAGACGGTTGCATCTTATCCGAACTTTAGGCCACTACAACTTTCCAGTACACAAAGCTATGCTCGCAACGTTTTCACTTTGTGGTGATTATATTTAATCCCGATGAAAAATAGAAATGAAATTACCTGAGCCGACCGTTTGAATACTCGTAATAAACTTAATTGTAGCCATTTTCAAGTTTTTGACATTTCTTTCGTAACTTTTTCACCTTTTGGGTCTTACACCGCTAAATATTACAAGTGGTCAAGTCAAGTAAACGTCAAGTAAATTTTATTTATAAGTCGGATACATCAACAATAAACATAAATTAAGCTCTGATGATCTTTTTACACCGACTACTAGTCAGTGAAAATTTAAGGCTTACCACGGTACATATTAGTATATATATGCTAGTTTTTCTTTGGAAGTTTTAATAATTTTGATATACAGTATCCAGCCGTTTTCTGAAATTAATATTGTAAACGACAAACATTTTTTTTAATTAAAATTTGCATTTTTTTAAATGGCCCGTCTATAGTTATAACTGTGTGTTTCCATAGCCTCTTGGTGATTTTTGTTTGATAATGGAAGCAATATAATTCAGTGGATATGTTGTATGAATACATGGAATTACAGTCAACCCGGCCCCAAGTTAACCCGGCCCCAAGTCAACCCGGCCTCAAAATTGGTCAACCCGGCCCCAAAATTGGTCAATCCGGCCCCACAGTATTTTTATTTGGTCAATGCGGCCCCAAAATTGGTCAATGCGGCCCCAAAATCGGTTATTCCGGCCCCAAAATATATATTTTCAAAGAAAATTATTTAAGTCATCTTGTTGTATGATGGAATAAAAATGATTTATTATTAATTGTACCAAATTTAACGATTATTTGCATGTTATTTCACTGTAATCCAGACAAAAAACCCCACTTACTTTATAAAATATAAGTCATATAATGATATTTGATATCTTCTGTTCTTCACAGATATGATTTTATATATATATATATATATATATAAAAAACAAATATAACTTATAACTTTTTGTATTTAAGCCTGATGAAGAGTATTGTATTACTCGAAACTAGTAGCCAATAAAAACTTTTAAAACTTGACCTGGTATTGTACGTGTGTTCCTCACCTACATTACTTATTTTTTTATTTAAAAACCAAATTAAACGATATATTGCATGTAAAATCATTTTATTATTAATCAAGAAAAGTTAATAAAAAAAAATCAATTTATAAAATAAAAGTCATATTCGGTATCTTCTGTTCGCTACGGATATGACTTTTATAGAACGTAATTCGAATATAACTTATAACTTTTTTATTTATGGACAAAATTTAACGATATTTTGCATGTAAAATCATTTTATTATTATAAAACATCGTATCAAGAAAAAATAATAAAAAATAATTACTTTGTAAAATATAAGTGTTTATATTTTAAAGCAAAATAAATAATAAAAAAATGGGGCCGGGTTGACCAGAAATAACATTGGTTTGGGGCCGGGTTGACCAACTTGGGGACGGGCTGACTTGGGGCCGGGTTGACTTGGGGCCGGGTTGACTTGTACCGGAATACATGTATCTATAAACTATACAAGTGGAACTCTGGTGTTGAACCGGCACATTCTTCCAATATAAAGGTATGTTATATATCCAAATCTTCTGCCAATCTAGCTAGGACTCCACTGAAATTGTTCTCTGATCAACCTCATAGGTCCTCATAGGTCGTTTACTATGTAACATCTGTTGTAATCCATACAAAATTAGCTTTTAAAACTAAATTCTGGAATGAATGTGTAATAGTGGTCAGGTTCTAATGAGAATCAATGCTTTACACGGAGACCAAACGATCACAAATTATAAGTGGAGTAAATTCTCAGGGCTCAGTAGATTTATATATAAGTGTCACTATATAAAGATGATGGACTAAACAACAACAACTAGTAAATTCAATTTCAATCAATGCTTTTAATATATGAAAAGCCCTAGCAAATTGAAAGAGAATACTAATCAAATTTATATTTAGTTTTATATTAAGAATAACTATATTTATTATTTAATTAAGATTATGTTTATGATATTTTTATATATGGTCGTTTATAATAAACATAAACGTTTGTTAAGGACTAAGTCCAGTTTAATGTTTCAAGGCTAAGCCTTGTTGTACTGACCAGAGTAGGTACAGTACCTAACCTAGCTAACATTACCAAAGTCAGCTTATTTATACAATTCAGTATTCAAAACAACAATTTGATTGGTTGAGAATAACATTGTATATACCATGCAATAAGTATGAAAGATAGTAACTCATAACTTATAGATTAACTGTTAACTTAGATTACCGTAAATACCCATCCTATTACATTCCTCCCTCCTTAAAAACAAAGAAACCCCATGTAATTAGAAATTAAATCCTAATAAATATAATGTCAAAACTAAGGAAGGAAAGAATAACCCTTTTATTTAAGAAACTTATCAAAATTTCAAAACAAAAATTTACTTTCGAAAAGTATATGATTCAAAATAAGGAAAGTATATACATCAAAATAGTGAACTGACAAAACACGATTTAAACTATCAATGTAAATATCAAACATGGAAAACATATTCAGTTTGTTTACAATAAGAATTAAACATCACTCAAGCAACACACCACTTTCAATGTTCTCGATGAAACTGTAAAGTCCTGTTGTTAGAAAACACTCTGAATTGAGCACATGCAGTAGTGGAATATGAACAATGTGAAGTCCATGGTGTTTCACCATTACAAGCGGTGTTTTGTGTGTAACAACTGGCTTAAGTATGTACATGTATATGAAGTCTGAAAAATTAAACAAGAATTAATATTCAAATAAACATAATAAATGACAATTCTAAACTCTTTATCTTTCAGACATACAATGTGGAACGTATATTCAATTCCAATTGTCAACATGAATATTGCTATTTAAAATCAAACTATGTATTATCATCATCACAAGATTTAATTAATGTATACTTTGTATAACTTTTACATTTAAGGATAAATGATTTATATCAATTCATCTTCCTCTAAAGTAGTGTTGATTTAAACTTGGTATTTTTCTGTACATTCCATTTCATACATAAGTCTAAGTCTTGGTTAGACATGGTCATTTTTAAGTAGCATTTCACTCTTTTAATCCATGACATCAGTTCTAGCAAAATTATTTTGCTTTGGATAAGTAACTGCTTGCTTCTCTCAAAGTATAAATATGTTTGAAATATTGACGCAGAGTTTGTGTCTAATGTTTCAAAAGATTTACTTTGATTCTTGCCAAATGCATATTGAAGTATCATTTTACCATAATCTATTTTATCTATAAACCAGTACTTTCGTGTTGCACTGAACTTATTCAAATTGTCATGATCGTAGTTGTGTAGCAATGTTTTGTTTTTATGAGGAATATCTGTTATTTGTACCTTTGCACACATTCTTGAGATAAAGTTATACAATCTCACTTTTCCCATACTAGTTTTTAGCAAGCGTTTGTGTACTTTCAGGCTGACATTATAATTTTCGAAGAAATCAATGCCTAAAATGCCTATTGTTTCCTCAATATCTGCAACTATAAACTCAAAACAGAAAACAAGATGTTCAATTTCAAAATTAATCATACATTTTCCAGCAATTTCCAGCCTGACTCCATTTGCTGTAGACAAAGGCATTTTAACAAGTTCTAGCCTAGGCTTATTTTCGAGTCTATCATAACACTTGGTGGAAATAATAGAAACTGGACTGCCAGAATCTATGAGCATTCCTCCTTTCACCTGCCCTATAGCAGTTTTCACATAATAACATGATGTTTTATTTGTTTCGCCTATATCAGAAACAATGTTTTCCTTTTCTTGGCCTAAACTTTGAGGTGTTTTTATATCAACATTATTCTGTTGTAATACCTTATTCTCAATATGATTTGAATCAGTGACTTTAAATTTCAAACTTAATGGTGTACATTTACTCGTACTTTGTTCAACTATAATTGCACGGTATAGACCTTCATTTCTCGAACACTCTTGTCCTAGTTTTTGACCTAAGTCACGTTGAGCATTCGTCTCTGTTATAGTAGGAGTAGGACTTAATTCGGGTGGAGTAATTGTTATTTCCGGGATTTTCTTATACAATGTGTTTTGTTCATTTGTATTTGAATGTTCAGTCGTTAAAGTACTTTTAACGGAACAATGTTTATGTTTGTCAATTCCTGGTAAACTAACATTTTTCAAGTTCGTGTTTTCAGTGTTTTCACTAATTTGTGAACACTGCGTGTCACATTTCGTCATAGTAATGTCACATATTGGCCTAGTATTTTTACAAATGACTGAAGTTTTGGCCACAACCTCAGTCCGGTCTAGTTTTCCTGTAAGGGAGCATTTTGTTTTAGAAAGCAACGGCTCTCAATATGGCCTTTCTTTTTACAAAAAGTACAGAAAATATCTCTACGCTCTTTGAAAAAACATTGACTTTCTGTATGTCCCAGTTTATTACAATATGAACAGGAAATATTCCTAGAATTATTCCTTAAATTCCTATTTGGGGAATGATTTGGGGATCTATTCTGAATTCCCACTCGTCTGTTATTGTGTGGAGATGAATCTGCACGTAAATTACGTGAAGGGCTATTTTGTCTTGATATGTTTTGTTTCTTAATAACATTATCACAGTATTTGTTTTCAAGCATAGACATTTTTTCATTAAACTTTTGTTCAAGTTTTTGATCTAACAAAGAAGATAACATTTGCTGTAAATCTTCAAGATTACAATCAGTTTTCATATTTGATGGCCTAAGGGAAGAAACTATATTTTCTTTCAATGGAAGAGTAGTCCCCCTTGTAATTTCGTCATCTACGGGTTTTGATCTTTTATCAAGTGACCCTTGTAACGCAGCATATTCTACCGCGGCACTAATAGCTTGATCTAAAGTAGTTGGATGTAAAAATTGTACATGTTTTTGTAACTCAAAACTACCTAGACCATGAATGTACTGATCAATGATACAAGATTCGAGTGCTGTATGGGGCATTAAAGGAAATGCTTTCTGTCCTATACGTCTTAATGCGTATCCATAATCTGAAACAGACTCCCCAGAATTCCTTTTCCTGTTTCGGAATTCACACCTATATGCCAGTTCCCGCTCTTGTGGACTGAACCTTTGAGTCAGGGCTCGTTTTATTTCATTATAGTCTGTTAACTGAGAGGAACTTAATGTTGAAAGTAAACGCTGGTCACGGCACCAATGTAATAGTGGTCAGGTTCTAATGAGAATCAATGCTTTACACGGAGACCAAACGATCACAAATTATAAGTGGAGTAAATTCTCAGGGCTCAGTAGATTTATATATAAGTGTCACTATATAAAGATGATGGACTAAACAACAACAACTAGTAAATTCAATTTCAATCAATGCTTTTAATATATGAAAAGCCCTAACAAATTGAAAGAGAATACTAATCAAATTTATATTTAGTTTTATATTAAGAATAACTATATTTATTATTTAATTAAGATTATGTTTATGATATTTTTATATATGGTCGTTTATAATAAACATAAACGTTTGTTAAGGACTAAGTCCAGTTTAATGTTTCAAGGCTAAGCCTTGTTGTACTGACCAGAGTAGGTACAGTACCTAACCTAGCTAACATTACCAAAGTCAGCTTATTTATACAATTCAGTATTCAAAACAACAATTTGATTGGTTGAGAATAACATTGTATATACCATGCAATAAGTATGAAAGATAGTAACTCATAACTTATAGATTAACTGTTAAGTTAGATTACCGTAAATACCCATCCTATTACAAATGCATAGTTATTTTGTTTTTGTTTATTTTTCTTCTACGTTTTCTCTAAGTAAAAATTTAAAGTTTCACTTAAAGTGAATGAAATTCTTCCTCATATTATGCTGTCTTAAATTTCAAAACATATTTAGTTTGGAATGTTACCGTTTTACCTCTGACTGCAATTCTTCATTAATTTTGTCTAAAATAGAGTTCATTCATTTAATTAATCTGAAGTCAAATTACCTAATTGATGTTGCCAATTTTAGGCCATCCAGGTCAATATATAATTGCATAATAAGTTTTCAGTGACCATTTCAATGAGGAAAAAAGACAAACTTAAAACCACTTGCTCCTCACCGCTGTGGGTTCGAATCCCGACAAGGACTTTGGTTTCTTTCATGTGAGGAAGCTATCCAGCTACAATGTAGCTTACGGTGGTTCTACACAGGTGCCCCCGTTCGTGCCTGAAATCATACACGGAGGGGCATCTGGGGTCTTCCTCCACCAGTAAAGCTGAAAAGTCGGCATATGACCTATACTGTGTCGTTGTCACAGACGCTTGGGGTTTGGAGCTCAAAACGCCTTTAAAATCCAAATAAAATGCATATTTGTCAATCCCAGGACATGTACTGATCATATATATCGAAAAATCTTAATATATGCCGTTTTGAAAAAAAATCATATTTCAACATCTATAATAATTTTTTGAAATATGATTTTTTTTCAAAACGGCATATATTAAGATTTTTTGATATATATGATCAGTACATGTCCTGACAAATATGCATTTTATTTGGATTTTAAAGGCGTTTTGAGCTCCAAACCCCAAGCGTCTGTGGTCGTTGTGACGTAAAACCCAATTAAAAAAACAAACAAACGTGTTATGTTACATTTATCAAACGTGGGTACCCGACGGTGTGTGTCTTATGTTTAATTAATATACATGAAAAAAAAAATAAATAAACGAATAAAAGAAAGTATAGGTTATTTAATCATTTATGTACATACATATAAGATACTACAATGTAATTAGATTATCATGTTTCTTCTTTGAATCATCATCAAGAATTCTTCACGATGTTGTCTTTATCCAACGATCTGTTCAATGTTATATCTGAAACATACGAAAGGAAATGCATAGTGTTTGGTTTACAATAAAAGGTGAGTTTTTCTTTGAATTCCTAATCAGTTACAAATTATTTATCATTTAATGATTAACGTGTCGTTGCCCTGTCCTTTTTATGTTTGGGGTCCGCCTGGGCTCCTTGCCATTGGTTCTTGTTGCTGGGTCATATGGGGGTTGCGTTCATTGAACGCCGCCTTTCCTTGTTGATCTTGTTTTTCATATTTTGTGTGTCAACAGTACGTACGTAGTAGAGAAAAGATCTCGTGATTGTGTTCATGTTTATTTTATAATAATTTTCAAAATTTTTATATGTTTTTGGCAAAAAGTGAATGTGCGTGTGTCTGTAAATCCGCAGTAACTTGTATACGCAGCAAATTTTTGCCACAGAAGTATTTGGCAACACTGATGTTAAAAATAACATATACCTTCCTTACATGAAAGCTTTATAAGCATTTTATGTATCAAAAAGCTATAGCTCACAAACGGTTCGTTTTCTTAAAAGTGTTTTTGAATATATATACCATTGTCAGTAATTAAGGTTAATCAATGATTATGAAAGTATTATCTATATCTAATAAGAGTAACGCTTACAATGTAAACGGTACAGATTGGGCTTTAGAGATGTCACCTTTTCAATAGACTCAATAAAAAGGCGAGTCTGTAATTTAATGTACTCATTGTGTTTCCATATATTGCATGCTCAGTGGTTTTATACTTTTCATTGAGTTTACTTTGAATGTATACGTAAATGCCTAAGATGTTCTGAGTATTGAAAAGGCTTTCACGACCCTGAATTATGATGAGAATAGCAATGGTCTTACGGTGTTTCGCATATGAAACTATGAAGTGCATTGCAAATGTAATCGTTCCAATTAGTACGCCCTTTGTGGTAATGGATTGCCAAACAGTTTTCGTTCCCACCCAAATTATCAGGCCTACCAGCTGCCCATTTGGTGTAGGTAATTGGGACACTACTTCCATCAGTTGTCATCCATCGCCACGAGTTTTCGTTGATGATATCAGTTCCAGCTATCCAATAGTCTTCGTCAATGTGTGAACCTACAAAATAATTTGATTATTTTAGTAAAGATTATTGAGTGTACAATGTTAAAATAGCATTACGCTCATTTCCTTATAATTGTCAAGTTGAGCTGAATTTGCTGCTATAACGGTGATTGACTAACAGTTGATATTGGAAAAATGTTTAGGATAAAATATTAATCTGCCTAAAATATAAAAAGATCGCCCAATTCTTTTTATATACTGATCGATGTTTAAATGGAAGCAGATAAAAATCTTACCATGCAACTTAGCCAACATTCCTTCGACAACTATTTCCTCTGCTTCGTCATCTATGATTGCGAGGTCACTCCCTAACAGACGACAATACATCTGATGAAAAGATAAAGAAAAACAGTGCACAAATTGTTTCAAAAGGACATCAAATAAAAGACCCAAAGCTAAGCTCTTCCTTAAATATTTACATGTAGGTTAAAAATGCACGTGTTGGTATTTTTACCAACTAGCCTGGGATTACCTGGTCCTGTACTATTAGAAGTACGCTGGGGTACAGACTAATTTACCAACAAGCATTTATAATGTTTTTTACCAACAAGCATAATGTTTTTTACCAACAAGTAGGCATGTGAGACTTTGCGTTTTGGATTGTCTCTCTAACAACAGACTTAGTCTACATTAACAAATCTAACATTTTTGTAAGTTTTTGCTATTCTCAACGGACCTCTTTTCGGATTTTGAGAAGTATATTGATACACAAGTGCATTTTTTCTCCACAAATTTTAACACTTGTATACGTAAGTGCCTGAATAACTGTTTTTCTTGATAGAGTGTTATCTATAGATATATATAAACAGTGATGAAGCTCTTGCCATGCATATTTTAATGAAATGATTCCTGACATACACTGTATATTTATGCTCAAGATTTTTTTTTATAAAAAAAAAATGAATTTATGTAAGTTCTATGTAAACATATGTTAATATTCATTGCTCTCTTGTAACTGAACTGCTGTCTCTTCCCACAGCTTTTTGGCATTGCATGAATTTAAACTCACATTCACTTTACTGATATAATGTGACAAGTGAAATGTCAATATTAATATAAATAGAAATATGTGTGACTAACTTTAACTCAGTTATTTCCTAAATTAACGTGTATACACATGCAATTATGGGATTTTAGGCTGACACGTTAAGCTTAATTTACTTTGACTTCCTTTTCGCTACATGACTTTTAAAAAGCCGGTGTGACGAACCTTGGCTTCCATCCAGCTAGCTTCCAGTGCTGCCACCTTGTAGCAATGGGAATCATGGTGTTCAAACCCGTCCAAACAGGTTCCACTCACTAAAAATAAAAAAAATAAAAAAACCTTCAAAGAAATAAAACAATAAATGATACAAGTTTTTTTTCTCAATATTTTACTTATATATGGAGTAAGGTTTGTGGTAAAGAATGCAAATCAGTGTTTTAATATCGATTAATGGAGCACTAATCACGTACATTTACATTAATGACCATTACAATGGTAGTGAGAATCCGAATATTACCAAAGAAAAATATATATAGATTAAGATGTATATTGAAGTACATTGTATAAAAAATAATGTTACAACTGCTCATCTTTACACTGTTGTCAGTCCTAAATTGAACAGTATATTGTTCTTTCAGGCTTATATTCTATTGATTTTAGTATCAAAACACGAATTAATACATGTGTTTCCTAAGTCGGCATATACACCATGCAGGTACATGTTACCGTAATTTAATACACACTTAGTTTGACTATTTAAAAATAACAATAATAAAATAATAATAATAATTATAATAAAATAAAATAAAAAATCATTATTTTTTGTCGTGGAAAATATATTTTTATATTTCCTTTTATGTACACATAAGTCATTCTACGTACATGTGTACACACAAAGTTCACGTGCAAATAAATTCTGACAAATACGTTTTTTAAGAAACCAAACAAATCTATGCCAAGAGCCGCCATCATTCCATAAATTATTATGACCAAAACTTACCTTCAGCTACAATAAGAAATATAAATACAACATATGAACTTAATTCCATCATGTAGGATTTATTTTTCAGTGATAAGACAGTACTATTTGTACGTTATGAGTCAAGATCGAGTGATGTTTATTTATGGCAAAATCTCGATCTTATCAATTCGACCATTGTTATATTTGACCTGAAAAGATAAGGCCTGCACTAATTATAACGGGCCAAATGTAATGACTTTTAAAAACAATTCCTTTCATTATAAAAATAAAAAAGGTATATATAAAAGTAAATAAATAATAATAACGCAGACATTTGATGTTAAAACATAAGCGTTAATATAAAAAATATCCCTCATCTCTTATAAAAATATATATATATAATTATAGGAAACGGCTATATTTAATTACTGTGCTTTGAACAAGAATTTGAAATGAGTTAAAATTTTGCCAGATCATAATATAAATCCTAAAATAGTTTTCAACGCAAAATTTATTTCCTCAAATGCATGAAACTAATGAATCGGAAAAAAATTAACAATCTAGTTGCATTGTGCCAAATTGAGGTCCGAAATGGCTTAATATCTCTTCCGACACATCTGGTACGAAAAGTATGTGGTCCGAGATGTCGATATAAATTTTGCAAGCGTCTAGTGATCAGGAAACACGAACAACAACAACAATCAAGCGTGTTGTTTTATTTATTTGTAAACTAAAAGAAACTGAAAAGTGTACCTTATTTAACTATCTATAACATAGAAAAGTGAGTATATTATCCTATTCATGTCCCAAATTTATTTTGTGAGCAGAGGACTATCGATGTAATTCTAGTCAGAAAATTACAAAAAAAGGTGTCAAAATTTAATAAATTTAAACCACAGGAACTTGAAATTCTATCAATATTAACGATAATAATATGCAAAAAAACCACTATATACTATAAAAAAATGTGTTTATTTATAGTATATAGGGGGTATATTTGGATATTATCATAAATATTGGTTATTTGATAGAATTACAAGTTCCTGTGATAAAACTGAATGCCCTCATAATTCTGGCTTCCAAAACTTTATAAGCATCTACTGAATATTTTTGTTTTTCATCTGATGCAGCATTAAAGTTTTGGATAAGACCTCTTACGAAACCTAACCAGAATAAGATAAGTTGATTTAACCTTATTTTTCACATGCAAATACACTTGACCCAATCAATTCTTGTGCATTTTACAATAAAACAATTATTTTAACATTGTTCTATACCAATTAAAGTATCAAGATATTTAAACCGTCATTAAAATTGCTTTTTTAACTGTAAAACATCAATTACGCCGACTACAGTTGGCCATGACATTAAGGTGCCACGCGAGACCTCGTATGACGTCAATCGCGGGAACGGATTAGAACAGAGTCGTGTACTATATTTAGAACATCTTTGTTGACATGATTTCAATATTTTTATTCAAGATAACGTTTTTATTTATTACTTAAATATGATTTTATTGAATGCAGAAGTCAGTAAATCACCTTTTTGTGCCCCCACGTTAGTGGCGGGCATTTAGATTTACCCTTGTCTGTCTGTCCATCCGTCCTTCCTTCCGTCCGCCCGTCCGTCCGTTCACTTATGTGTCGCACATAACTCAAAAAGAATTTGACCTAGAGTCATGAAACTTTACAGGAATGTTGATCAGCATGTGAAGTTGTGCACCTGGGTATTTTCTTCTGGATATTTTTAGTATTTTCACAGTTATTGCCCTTGACTTAGTAAAATTTTTCAATTTTCAACTTGTGTCGCATGAAACTCAAAAAGTATTTGACCTAGAGTCATGAAACTTTACAGGAATGTTGATCAGCATGTGAAGTTGTGCACCTGGGTATTTTCGTCTGGATATTTTTAGTCTTTTCAGAGTTATTGTCCTTGACTTAGTAAAATTTTGCAATTTTCAACTTGTGTCGCATGTAACTCAAAAAGTATTTGACCTAGAGTCATGAAACTTTACAGGAAGGTTGATCAGCATGTGCAGTTGTTCACCTTCGTATTTTCGTCTGGATATTTATAGTGTTTTCAGAGTTATTGCCCTTGACTTAGTAAAATTTTTCAATTTTCAACATGTGTCGCATGTAACTCAAAAAGTATTTGACCTAAAGTCATGTAACTTTACAGGAATATTGATCAGCATGTGCAGTTGTGCACCAGGTATTTTTGTCTGGATTTATTTAGTATTTTTAGAGTTATTGCCTTTCACTTAGAAAATTTTTGCAATTTTCAACTTGTGTCGCAAGTTACTCAAAAAGGATTTGACATAGTCATTAAACCTTATGGGCAGGTTGCTCAGCATATTTAGATTTACACCTGGGGTTTCGCTTGTGGATTATTCAGTATTTGTAGAGTTATTTCCCTTGAATTAGTAAAAAGATTGACAGAACAGTGGCGCGGTGGGGGCACCCGTGTCCTATGGACACATTTCTAGTTCAATATCTTTTTGAATATACATGTCATAGTATATAAATGGGTACGCTGAAGATCTTAAGCTAAGGCCCTCAGTGAGAAGAATGATAGTCTGTTAGGGACTAATAAAGTTTCCCATGCATCACAAGGTTTGACTCAAAACACAAAATTTGGGATATTTTTTACACTGACATCTATCTGTCTGTCTGTTCTGCCAACCCCTCCCACAAGTGTATCAGGCAGTAATAGTGCAAGTCGGATATGTTAGTAAATGGTGCGAGTGATAGTAAAAACTTGTAAATGAACATTATTGGATGATCCACCCATGTAAATTGTTAATTGAAATCTTGTAACTGTTTAACATTTTAACACAGATAGGACTTAAGTTAACAATGTGTTTTGGAACTATAGGTCTATCCTGGAATAGTGGTCTAATCCAGGACAATGTACTTTTTTGTAGGTATCTTTCAGGATTTCAAGTAATTTCAACTTCCAAGAAGTTTCAGCCCTGGACATTTTGTGTGATTTACCAAATCGGCCCCGTTTATGATCTCTTGTGCAGAATAAGTCTTGCCTTTATCCGTTTTAACATTTCAGTATATGAATAAAAAAATTAATTGATTAATTAATTTAATTATGATTTTGTAATAGAATGAAGCTAAAATAGTAGAAAAAAAGGTAATCAAAACAAACTGAAAATAAATTTATAAAAAAAGCATATAGTACACACACTAACATTTGTTATCAAGAAATATATTTTGTTTCTGTTAGTGTTGTTTCTTTAAAAATTTATTTCTTAACTTATCCTGTAAAGAAGTAGCACATACTGCTGATAATTTTATCAGTTATTGATATGTGCATCAAATGTTGTCTTTAATATTCAGTAAAGATGAACGTTTTAACACCTTGAAAAAAATCAATGTATATTAATAGTTAAATTAAGAGATCATTAGATAATGAATTATTAATTAAGGATTAAAGTGGCTAAATTGTTTGTGTCATCAGTCAAGATACTTTTTTATTTTTTTTCAACAATTTTAAAATTTAAGTATGTACATTTATTTTCAAATGTCATAAAACGGCTGATGTGTCACACGGAAAAGGACCAAAACGCCTTGGGGCCAATTTTTGCAATGGTGTTGATTTGGTTTTTGGGCTGAAACCTCTTTTTTGCTGTTTCAGCACTTTCAATGACATTCAACATCAATAGCCTATGTTTTCATTTGCTTCAGATTCAGTGAATTTCCAAAAAATATTTCTACTACAATAACTTCATTTCGAAAAAAAAGTTGAGTCCCTTTAATGTGTTTTTCTGTGTTTTTACTTCAGCAGTGATACCATACCAACATGACAAGATTTGCGCGTTTCGGTCAAAACAACAAACGCACTCTTGATGCGACACAATGGAGTGCCATGAAAACAGATGGTAATACTGATCAACCTTCAGGTGAAACAGGTCATGTTAAGAATGACACTTCTAACGATAAAACCAGTCCAATCAGTCCGAAGAAAAGTCCACTGAAAGGTGTAAAAAATGACAAAACCTTTCAGAAACCAAAACACAAAGGTCAAAAGGGCAAGTTTTCAAAGGGACAAGTACGAAGGAATCCAAGTGAAATGGAATGTTACAATTGTCATAAGAAAGGGCACAAAGTGTCGGAATGCCCTGAACAAGGAGACGGGAAACACTTGGACGTGCAGTGTTATAACTGTAAGCAGAAAGGCCACAAGTCCTTTAATTGCCCAAAACCACAACAGAAGGGCCCAAAGAATAAAAAATTCATAAAATTTGTGGAAAAGAATAAAGATGATTGGAAAGCAAAAAGGAGTGAACACCGTCGAAACAAACGGCAAGATGATGCCCAGTCTAAATTGGTAAGAAAGTATACGTAAATAGATAAATCCTTTCATTACACGATTTTTGAATTTCAACTATTTCATTCCTCAGTTTATATATATTTTTGCCCAATTATAAAATAACTTCCCCATGAAAAAAAATTACCTGCTTAAAGCAAAAGACCATTAACAATCTCAAACTGAAATTTATATTTTGCACAAATGAAGTGATTACAATGTATCTAGCAGAGCACTCTTTATGCCAACAGAAAATCACCAATATACCTGGATCATAGTAATAAATTGTTAGTAACTTAGTAATAGAAATATTCTGACAAAAGTTGTAAATTTGAGTATTAGTTCATTAGTAACTTAGTAATAGAAATATTGTGACAAAAATGGTAAATTTGAGTAATATTGTACTGTATATTGCATGCATATAAAACATGTTGACCTTAGTATTATTTTTTACCAATTACTTGTCAGACTGTAAACTAAGTATGCTCACTATATTCGACTAAAGATAGCCAACGTTAAAATTTTCTTTTATGTTTCCCTTCCCGCAACCCATGCCAGTTTAGGTACATAAGTAAAAAAAATGAAATGAGCAAGTAGATATATATACAAGTGATTCTTATTCAGCTTATTCTACGGTTGTAATAATTAAAACATTTTCTGTCGACAGCACTGTTATAACTGCAGAGAATCGGGTCACAAGCTGTCAGAATGCCCAGAAATACAGAAAGATGTCGAACAGGGAACCGATATATGTTTTAAATGTGGCTCAACTGAACATACTGTCAAAGGATGTCATGTTAAATTGGCTCCAGGTACGATTGTTTTTGTAAGCCCATCTAAATGAAGATATTGCTTAAATGCCTCTAGATTCATGCTAATTTTCATGAACATTTTGAAAATGTATTAAAAAGTAAAATATTGTGAAGTAAACAAAGAAAATATTTTTCAAATTGCAAAAAGCACTTTTAACTTACAACCCATGTAAAAAGAGGTAAAATATGCAAAAATAAAAATGCAAAACAGTTCTTCTCGCTTATAACATGGAAATCATGACTTTTATCATGATTTTTTTTTACTTTTCTTAAAGTGTCAGTACTTTTTTCTTTGTTTTAATTTCTTTGAATATTTTGGTTTATATGGAAGCATGCAGCTTTATATAATGACAAGCTAAATTTTGAACTAATTTGATAGCTTATTATTGTAAAATAAAAAATAAAAGTTGAATGTAACGGTTTACCGATTTTTTTTGTTGATCACATGTAAATACTAATAAGCATAATTGAGCCGCGTCACAACAAAACCAACATAATGGGTTTGCGACCAGCATGGATCCAGACCAGCCTGCGCATCCGCGCAGTCTGATCAGGATCCATGCTGTTTGCTTACAAACCCTATTACAAGTAGAGAAACTGATAGCGAACAGCATGGATCCTGATCAGACTGCGCGGATGCGCAGGCTGGTCTGGATCCATGCTGGTCGCAAACCCATTATGTTGGTTTTGTCGTGACACGGCTCAATTATATCTGTATTTGTGTTATGTATCTTTAAAATCTAGTAATTATGTTTCTCTTTTGTGCGTGTTTTAATCACAGAATATCACACATTGTAAATGTTGGGTGGCAACTAGTCAACTATCCAACCTAGAAAGGGGAGCACCTGTAAGATGAAGTTCAATACATTATTTCTTTGGCGACCATGTCTTGCAATCGTAACCACTCCCTTTTGTTGCCTAAATAAAAATGTTTAGCTGGATAATGGTCTGTTTTAAGACATTTTGTGCAGTTAATGTTAGTTATTAAGAATGATAACAAAAGTTTTAAATTACAATATTATGTTGCAGGAGAATTTCCTTACGCTAAGTGTTTCATATGTGGAGAACTTGGTCATCTGTCACAGAAATGTCCGGACAATCCTCGTGGCTTGTACCCTAATGGAGGTTGCTGTAAGGAGTGTGGATCTGTCGAACATCTTCAACGAGACTGTCCCGAGTATCAACGACAACAAGGTACACTATCTAAGTTTTATATCATGATTTTTTGTACTTTTATAATAGTTGTATTTCCTGGGAGTGTTGTTGGCCTTTTGATGTTGCAAAGTTAAAATAAAATTATTATTTTCAAACAATCCTGAAATACTCAATGTATTTGTCTTTCAAAACAGTCCATCAAGAATTTTGAATTGATAAATTGCTTGTTAATATTGGGAGTAGTAAATAGAATATATTCACAATTATATCCTTAATGCAGTAACGGGTTAACTTCTGTTAACTTTTTATGAGAATTAACCTGATACTGCACTTAAGTGATTAAATCATGCTCTTAGAGATATTAAAAAAGACGGTGTCAGAATGACATATAAGTGTCCGCATCATGTTTGAATCCTTCCAAATGCATTTACTTAAGCTCCATAACATAAGGTGATATGTTGTGGTTATTGCCAAAACCCGCATTTTCCCTATTAAAAATGTGACGCACTGAAAATAAGCATAGAAACAAATCGGGCCCAATTTTAGCTCAATATCAGGCACGTGATCATGTCGAATGATATGGGGGCGTCCGTGGCCGAGTGGTTAAGGTCGCTGACTTCAAACCACTTGCCCCTCACCGCTGTGGGTTCGAATCCCGACAGGGACTTTGGATTCTTTCATGTGAGGAAGCTATCCAGCTAGCTTACGGAATGTCGGTGGTTCTACTCAGGTGCCCGTTCGTGCCTGAAATAATGCACGGAAGGGCACCTGAGGTCTTCCTCCACCAGTAAAGCTGGAACGTCGCGATATGACCTATACTGTGTCGATGTGACGTAAAACCCAAAACAAACTGTTGAATGATATATTCAAATCCGTGATAATATCGCTTTCAAACACTGATATTATTTTTAAATTAGTAAAATGTTCAGTTTCAGTCCTCTCAAAGAAGGGAAACAACTGTTACTTACTTAAGTGTTAAGGAGTTATTCCCCTTGTGCATTACTTGTAAAATTAGTGCTGTCCTGTGCAAAACTTTCAATTTATTAAAAGTTTCACTCGAATGTTCTGTACTTTGCGTATTTCAAAACATTATTAAAAGAAGTTGATTTAAGAAGTCCTAAGGGACATCAGTTCCCCGAGTGCTTAAGGTTGTTGACTTCAAACTACTTGCAGTACGTTTGTTCTATAATTCTAAGTATATAAAATATTGCAGTATCTCTTTTGTTATATATATATATATATTTCGAGGTTGGAAATATTGGAAGTATGGCAGTATGGCTTTTCTTCTATTTTTCAGTTATTGGAAGTATCACAGTATATCTTTTATTCCATTTTCCATGTATTTGAAGTATCGCAGTCTGACATTTGTTCTATTTTTTCAGATATTGGAAGTATTGCAGTATCACATTTGTTCTTTTTTCAGATATAGGAAGTATCCCAGTATGGCTTTTGTTCTATTTTTGTTCAGGTATTTTTTTGTACCTTTTAATTTCGACTTGTTTATTTTTGTCCACTTAATGACAAGTGAAATTAGTATCAATATTTTATGGTATGGTTTAAAAACGCATTTTGGAAGATATTCATATCTACATTTTCAATGGAAACGGTAATTTCGTCATTAAATGTTAGAGGATTAGGAAATAAACAAAAAAGACAACAACTTTTTGAATGGTTAGACTCTCAACCATGTTCTATATATATGTTGCAAGTAACACATTCTAATAATTATCATTCCGAAATCTGGAAAAAAGAATGGAAAGGTGAATCATATTTTAGTGGAAATAAAACAAATAAGGAAGGAGTAGCAATTCTTATAAAAAAAGATAGTAACATAAAAATAGTAAATACAAATGAGTTAATCATTGGTAGATTAATATCAATTGACATTATAACTATAAACGAAAGAGAATTTACTTTATTAAATATATATGGTCCTAATGATGATAATATCAGTTTAATTGCAACATTAGAAACATTTCTTTTACAGAATAATGATAAAAACATAATCGCCGGTGGCGATTTTAATACAGTAATAGATACAAAAATAGATAAAAAAAATGGACGATATGATACTCATAAAAAATGTAGAGAAAATATAAAATCATTAATAGTCTCATGTAAATTAGTCGATATTTGGCGAATACACCATCCCGATAAAAGGCAATATACGTGGCGTTCAAATGGTAAACCATGCATATTCTGTCGACTAGACTACTTTCTTATATCAGAGAACCTCACTAATATAATTACAAAATCAATAATTACTCCGGGATATAAAACCGACCATTCATTAGTAAAACTTTTCATTGATAATAAAGTGATGGAAAAGGGACCAGGCTATTTTAAACTGAATAATTCAATATTGACAGATAAAGAATATCAGACGGTAGTGAAAAATACAATTAAAATGTTGGTAGAAATTAATAAAAACAGTAACCCTAACACATTATGGGAAATAATAAAAGGCGGAATACGTAATGAAACAATAAAGTATGCAAGCAATAAAAAGAAAAAAGAAAAAAACAAAGAACATAATCTAATAAACGACATTCAAAAACTCGAAAACAAACTGTCAGTTCAAACAGATGATAGAGTCAATGAAGAGCTAAAATCAAAAAAATTGGACTTAGAAATATTGTATGATAAAAAAATAAATGGTCAAATATTAAGGGCAAAAGCTATTCATATTGAGCACAATGAAAAAAACAGTAAATACTTCGCAAATCTCGAGAAAAAACATGCTGAAAAGAAAATTTTACATAAACTTATTAAAGAAACAAAAGAAATAACTGACAGAGAAGAAATTCTTTGTGAAGAAAGACTATTCTATGAAGATTTGTACAAAATAAAATATTCTGAAGCTCCAGAAATAGATTTTTTAAATATATATATAAAAACTTTAACTGAAGAAGAAAGACAGTTGTGAAGGAATTTTAAATGCACATGAAATAAATATAGCTTTAAAAGAAATGCAAAACGATAAAAGCCCAGGCTCTGATGGCTTGACAGTAGAGTTTTATAAAATGTTTTGGGACGACTTAAAAGAATATTTCATAAAATCAATTAATCATTCTTTTGTAATAGGTAACTTAACTACACTTCAAAGACAAGGAATTATATCACTTATACCAAAACCAGACAAGGATCTCACAAATTTATCCAACTGGAGACCAATAAGTTTATTAAATGTTGACTATAAAATTGCCACAAAAACAATTTCTAACCGATTAAAAAAAATTTTACCTTCGATCATAAGCTTTAATCAATCTGGATTTATGAAAAACAGATACATTGGGGAAAACGTTAGACTTATTTTTGAAGTTATCGAACTATTAAAAGAAAGAAATAAACCAGGTTTGTTATTTTTTGCTGATTTTGAAAAGGCATTTGATAGTCTTAGCCACAATTTTATTACATCTGCATTGAGAAAATTTAATTTTGGAAATGATTTAATTCAGTGGGTGAAACTCTTTTACACGAATATTACTAGTATAATAGTCAATAACGGCCATTTTTCAGAAACTTTTAATATAGAGAGAGGTGTGAGACAAGGATGTCCTTTATCTTCGTCCTTATTTATTATATGTCTTGAAATATTGTCAAATTACATAGAAAATGATCGCGATATCAAGGGAATATATATTGAAGGAAAAGAAATTAAACAAACTTTTTTTGCTGATGATGCATCTTTTATAAATGATGGTACACAAATGTCTTTTGAACGGCTCGTCTATGTCTTAAAAAATTTTAGTCTTATATCAGGTCTTAATCTGAATACTAGAAAATCAACAATATTAAGAATTGGATCACTTCGTAATACAAATACAATTTATTGTAAAAAATACAATTTTAAATGGTCATCAGAATCAGCAAAAACATTAGGAGTTACTTTTTCAACAGATAACACAAATATATTAAAAACTAATCTTGAACCAAAACTTGAGGATTTCTACAACTGCTTGAAACAATGGCAACATAGAAAATTAACTTTGATGGGTAAGGTAACTGTTATCAAGACATTTGCACTACCAAAAATAATATATCCTTTTGCGGTGTTAGAAAACCCGCCAGAATCAAAAATCAAGGAAATTGAAAATGCAATATTTCATTTCATTTGGGAAGGAAAACCAGACAAAATTAAACGAAATATTATAAAGCAAAATTTTGAGAATGGGGGACTTAAACTTACAGACATATCATATTTTTTAAAATCGTTAAAAGCAAGTTGGATCAAAAGATACTTAGATAAAGAAAATCATAGCTTATGGAAATTATTTGTTAAGAATAAATTATTAAAGTATGGAAATGAACTTATTTTTGAATGTAACATTTCAAAACAAGATGCTGATAATCTATTTCCACACAAAAGTTTTATAAATAATATGCTAAATGCATGGATTGAAATAAAAAGTACAGACTTAACAAAAAATATCTCTTATAAAGACATTATTTGGAATAACTCAGATATAAAAATAGATGGTAAACTTGTATTTTATGAAAACTGGTTTATTAAAGATTAAATTCGTACAACACTTATATGATTACAGAACAGGAAAGTTTTATAATTTCGAAGAATTTAAATATTTGTATGACATCAATAATACAGATTTCTTAAAATATTATATGCTTATTGGAAATATATCTGACACTCTTATCAACAAGTTAAAAAATGCTGAAATTAACACTGTTTCCTCGCAACCTTTTATACAAAATGTTACACAATCCAAATCTGTGAATAAACTTTTATATGATTTGCAAATGAAAAACGGAAAATGTCAAGGGAAAAAAAGTAATGAAACTAAATGGGAAGAAAATATACAAAAGCATATTGACTGGAAAAAGATATATCAACTGCCTTATAAGAGCACATTAGATGTCACATTAAGAAATTTCCAGTATAAATTCCTCCATAGAATTATACCGACTAATACTTTTCTCTTCAAATGCAAACTGTCTGACACAAATTTGTGCGATTTTTGTCATAATAGCATTGAAAATATTGACCACCTCTTCTGGGAATGTACGAAAATACAAACTAT